AAATACCTTTTGGTTACTCATGCACTGCAGTGGAGCTGTTTTCTTTCTTTCACCTGAAATCCGGAAACAAGAAGACAACTTCTGAAGTTAATGTCAGATTTTTTTTTTTTTTTTTTTCTCTGGAAATTATTCAAAAATATGTAAAGTTCTTGATGAAAATGCATGTTAAATGAAAAACAAATTGTTTACACTTCTTGACAAAAACGAATGTAAGGAAAAGGGAAAACAATACATGTAAATTTTTTGACAAATAAGCAAAGAATACTATTTTTGACAAAAAAAATGAGAAAGGTAACAAAATAAATTTCTCGACGAAAATGCATGTATAAGAAAAAGGAAAAACAAAAATTTTACATATTTTGACAAAAACATATATAAAAAAATAATTCCTTACGAATATGGAAAACAAAATATATACATTTCTGCTTTTATTTTTAATCATGTCAGCTTTAGTTCTCATTAGATCTTCAATTTAAAGCCAAAATTGCGGAGATAAATGTATCCAGCAGGGGGCAGTAGTGCGCCCTAATTTTACCTTAACGTCAGCGAAGCGGAAGCGGAAATGTACTTCGGAGCCGTTTCACGGTTGCACATTCAGAGAACCGACCGTTGGTGTTAGCTAAAAATATGCAAAGCTGTAAAATTACAACTTAACAGCTGTAAGCTGTTTTGTTGTTTAAAGTACATTCAAAACCGATTCAAAGTTTGAATTTGAGTTAAAATATGCGCTTGAATCCAACGAGCAGAGGTTTGAATTCGTATATTTAAAAGAAATCCGGAAAAAAATGGAGGCGCGCTTCGGGAGAGAGTTAGCCTCCGCGGTGGAAGTGGCTCTCCGGGCGGCCGTGTCCGTGTTCAGGGACGTGTGGCTCGGAGAGACGCGGAACTCGGACTGGGACGAAGCGAAGCTCGGTGAGATCCAGGAGATCGAGCGGTTCCTGGTCGATCAGATCCAGAAGGTGTTCGCCGAGCTCTGGGAGGAGAACGAGGCTCTGCGGACCAAAGTGGAGCAACTGGAGGACGTGCTGCAGAGGAAAGCTGGGCGGCTGGAGCAGGAGCTGGAGGCCAGAGTGGGTCAACTGGGCCGAGACATGGAACTGCTGGAACAGGAGCTGAAGACCATGAGCGAGGCCCCCGGGAAGACCAACCAGGACGGGCAAAACAGCAGCTGGAGGACGGACCAGCAACCGGTGAGACGCTTCTGTAGTCAGTTGGCTCATCATGGAAAAACAAAACTTTGTTTCAGAAGAAAAGTGGTTAAAATAGCCAAAAATTACAACTTAAGAGCAGGACTCATTTCAGTTTTACTCAACTAAAATAACAATAAAATAAATACTCAAGAGTTGCTAAAAACATCTACTGAAATAGACTTTTTTACTATTAAAAGTATTTTCCTTTCTTTACTAACAATAAACTACAAAAATGTTTTTTTTCTTAAAGTGGAAAGAAACATTTTATGAGGACAAAAACTAAAAAAAAAATATTTTCAAGTAAAAAGGAAAGAAAAAAATCTAAACTCTTGATTTTAATTTTTTTAAATGACAAAATTTGGTTCCTCTTGCCGTTCAGACTTCAGTAGAAACCAATTCTTGCAGTAGGTTATATATGTTCACTGTTCATTTACTTCTACAAATAGAAACGATCAGAAACAATGAAGCCTGCGTACGAACTGGAGCTGAAACGACAGGATGAATCAATTATCACCTAATTTAGCAATCGATTTCATCAGAGATTAAACAAAATGTTTAGCAGTTCACATTTAAAGTTTCCCTGCTGTTTGTGATTCCAGATGGATCGCTGCTGGTCGGCTCCAGCATCGTGGCGTCTCCAGAACCGGACCAGAACGACCTTCCTGTGACCTCAGGAAGTGCAGATGTCGTCCCTTCCTCCCCGGATCGGTCCGCGGCCGTCTCTGCTCCCGCGGAGGCTCAGATGGTGTTTGTCGGCACGATTCCCTCCGCTGCTGCAGCGCTGCTGGTCGGGGCCAACGAAGTCTTCGCCCAGACTATGCCGGATGAGCTGGAGCTGAAACCCGAGTTGACGCGGCAGGACGCCACCAGCCCCAAGTCCAGCAGCGCCAGCAGTCTTTGCAGCACTCAGGAAAAGGTGAGGGGACAAGATGGGCTACAGCAGGATGCCCAAAATGTGGCGTAGGGTTCAGTTGGGGCCCTTGGACTGATTTTGTGCGGCCCTGACTGCAATTCAGAAATGATACACAGGCTTTTTATTTTTAACCAGGATAAAATTATTACCAATATGACAAGTTCTGTCATGATAAATTTAGCTAGATAATAAATTGTCCAATATTGTTCTTTAAAAAAATGGCTTGTTGAGACCAAGACACCGGACAGAAGACTCTTATCATGTTTTTAGTTGGTAGAGAGATGTGAAAAGTTGCTTGAGGTCTCAAATATTCACAGATTTTTGATATTCAGGGGCAGCTGTAACGGTGCACTGATTAGTTTTCTGGCTAGTCACCAACTTTTGAAAGACTAACTTTTCAATTTTGGCTCAAACTATTTTTTTTTTGTTGGAAAAGTTGCTAAATATAGTGATGAAGTTGCTAAACTGTGTTGCTAACTGCTAACAAAAAGAGACATTGACAGGTTGCATTGCTGGGGAAGAGCAGATCGGTTTTTCCAAGTAAATATCAGCTGATCACACAAAATTTAGAAAACCTCTGCAGCTCTTGCTGATACTGTCCATAAGGACAACTAAAACAAATCTCAGATGTTTTGATTTGGGACCAAAAAGTTTTCAGACTTCAAATCTCTTTTCAGATGCCTGAGAGTTCTTTAGAAGATGAACCTTCTGGAGTAACGCGCCGCAGGAGGAGGAAGGCTGATAAAACTGAAAAGGGTATGACTTTGTTAGCTTCCGGGGCTGAATAGGTGACATTCACCACTATTTTCTGTCTATTTCACTCTCAGTTTCATCCAAATCAACAGAAGAGACACAGGTCCAACCAGACGGAGCTCAGGGAAGAAGCCTGAGAAGAACCTCCTCTCAAGCAGGAAAGCGCTTCTTCTGCGAGTATTGTGACACCGGCTTTCACTGGAAAAGTGACCTGAAGAAACACCTGAATGTCCACAAAAAGCCCTTTCCCTGTGAGCAGTGCAGCAAAAGTTTCCCAGACAGGGAAGAACTGGAGAATCACCTTCTGAGTCACGACTCAATGAAGGACCCGCTGCCATTCCCGTGTCCGCAGTGCAAGAGGTCCTACAGGAAGGAGGAGTCGCTCCACAACCACCTCAAGCGCCACCAGACGTCCAAACTGCCGAAGCCATTCCCCTGCGATCAGTGCGGCAAATCATTCAGGGCGCAGCAGTCACTGGAAAACCACCTCCTGCGCCACGAAAAGTGGAAGCTGCAGCTGAAGTGCCAGCATTGCGAGAAAACCTGCAAGACAGCGGTGCAGCTGAGGGCCCACATGGCCGTGCACTCAGAGGAGAGACCGTTCAGCTGCGCCACGTGTGGGAAGGAGTTCAAAAGCAAGGACACTCTGCGCTTCCACCAGATGGTCCACACAAACGCCAAGAAGTACAAATGCAACATGTGTGAAGAGTCCTTCAAGTACGCCCACTCGCTGACGGTGCACAAGAGGAAGCACACCGGCGACAGCCCGTTTGTCTGTGACGAGTGCAACCGCTCCTACAGAACCGGCACCGCTCTGAAAAGACACAAGGTCATCCACACCGGGGAGAAACCCTTCACATGTCACATTTGTGGAGCGAGGTTCAACCTCAACAACAACCTGAAAAGGCACCTGCGCATCCACACCGGCGAGAAACCGTTCGTCTGCAAGGACTGCGGGAAGAGCTTCTCTGACAACAACAAGCTAAAGTCGCACATGCTGGTCCACGGCGCCAGGAAGCCCTTCATGTGCGACCTCTGCGGGAAGACGTTCCTATTCAACTGCAGGCTGCAGATGCATCAGCGTTATGTCCACGCCGACAACTCCCATGCGTCAGACGGCGTCCTCCAGAACCGGAGGCTGAAGCCGCTGGTGAAACCGTTCAGCTGCAAAACGTGCCTGAAGTGTTTCAGTGCCGCTTCGTCGCTCAAGCTCCACGAGAAGGGCCACAGCGAGCACAAGGAGTTCCACTGTGGCATCTGCGGGAAGGACTTCCACAACAAGTACTCCTTCAGCTACCACCAGCGCAGCCACTCGGGAGACAAGCCCTTTGTGTGCGACATCTGTGGGAAGAGCTTCTTCCATGGCGCTAGCCTGAAGCAGCACGAGCGGATCCACACGGGCGAAAAGCCCTACAAGTGCGACCAGTGCGACAAGGAGTTCAGGACGGATGGGAACTTCTACCGCCACCTGAGGATCCACAGCGGGGTGAAACCTTTCGAATGCAGCTACTGTCAGAAGAAGTTCCACCAATCCAATCAGCTGAAATCCCACCTGCAGGTTCACACGGGCCAGAAGCTGTACTCCTGTCCGCAGTGCGGCCACGGCTTCTCCGATTCACGGCAACTCAAGAAGCACAGCTGCGACGGCCCAACTCATATGATTAAACTTGATTGATTTGCTGTCTTTTAATACAAAAAATGCTTTCAATTTGTAGTTTCGTCGAGTTAAAGGGATGTGTGTTGATTCAATTTTGCGTGTTTGTTCGTTTCTGTAATGCATTTCTCAAGACAGTTCATGTGCAAGGGACTGATCACAAATAGTGAATAATAATAAACCTACAGATGAATTGAAAGCTGTTTCATTTGAAGAAACTATTGATCTGTTTCCTTTAAGCTGTAATTTATTTTACTAATCCATCACTAACAAAATTGTTATTTTTGCAGAAGCGAACTTGAAGATCTACATAATTTGTAAAGAATAATTCTCTCTAACATAACGGTAAATATATTTCCTCCCCGTGTACAGTACATTGCGAATAAACAGTTGAAATGGAAAATATGCTTGGAGTTTTATTTTGAAAATCTTCACAGGTTAATTCCATTTCCGGAAGAATGCTTCCGCCTCCATAGCCGTAAAAAACAAAGTAAAAAATGGCTGAAAGCAGCTCTGTGTTTTATTCCGAAGTGAAATCCATTCTGGAGACGCTCGTAATGACCGCGGTCGATGTTCTCGGAGTTTCGGACCGAGGAGCCGCTGAAACGAGGCGGATTCCGGTGAGTCCCGGTTCTGACGAACCCGCATCAGAGACGGTGTTTCCGGGGGAGATTGTGCCGCCGGGACGAAACCCAGAGCGGTAACGGAACAAAGATGGCGGATTGTGCTCGACAAAAGCAGCACAAACATGTTTATTCCTTTACAGTTTGAAAACGTGTCACTGAGCTGATATCGGAGTTTTCTGAAGTATTTAGGGAAAGTAAGACTAAAGTTTAAAATCATTTTATCTCCTCATATGGGGCTTTTGATATATTTATTGAACAATAAGCCACACATGATTTAAAATGAAATTTTTTTAAACTTCTGGTGTTTATTGTTGTCTGCTGGCAGATGATGAAGCGCATTCAACTGACTTCAAACCCAGAATGCTTAATTTATCCCAAAATAAAATTTAAGTCTTCAGAGTTGTGGGTAGGAAGGATTTGTGGTAGCGGTCCGTTTCGCAGGTAGTAGAGAGAAGCTTCTGACTGAAGACATTGCTGTTGTAAAACCAATGTCCAAAAGATGCACAGCAAAGAAAACCAGAGGAAAAGGTTCACAAACATGCAGCAGTTTAATGGGAATAATAAATCAAACATCAGATATGTTTAGTTGATAATACGGTTTGAGTTTCCTTCGTTTTATTCCCTGTAGCCAGATGTTGCTGCCATGTTGATCAGGGAGGCAGCCAGGAAGATCAGCAGCGTTTTCTCGCAGCTCTGCTTGTTGCTTCTTGCTGAAAACCGCAAACTAAACGCGCAGCTGAAGGCCAAACTGAAAAGTGCAGCCGAAGGTTTGGAAAACTCCCGGCCGTGGCGGGAGATCGTGCTGAACGGCGATCCGGTGCTGCAGGACCAGAGCGGCATGGTGTTCACCACGAAGCCGCTCAGGAGACTGAAAAGAAAGACGGACGACGGAAATCCTCCTGCAGCCCCTGCAGAGGTGGAAGGTGAGTTTTCATGAAACAGAAAAACTGAACTCTGCATTTGTTCAATCTGATCTCAGCTCCTCTTTTTCTGTTTCTAATGTCTGTTTCAGATTTTGGAGAGACGATTCAGACGCCTTCGTCTCCTCTTGCTGAGGAAGGTCAGAATTATCTTCACAGAGCTTTTCTGAATGAAACTCTGAGTCATGTCCATTGTAATATTAGCAGTTAAAATGTTTTTTTTTCTCTCTTTTTACACTCTACTGAAGATTTAGCTGCTCCAAAAATTCCCGAACTGGAAAACTCTGAATCCCAGAAGTCGCAGGAAGCAGCGCTGAAGCCTAAAGGAAAGGAGTTTGTGTGTGAGCTCTGCAAGAAGAGCTTTAGCCGCCGGTTTCACCTGGCGAAGCACATGAACACTCACAAGGAGCAGCGGCCGTTCGCCTGTGACCTCTGCCCCAGGAAGTTCAGGACTGCAGAGACTTTAGAGCAACACCTGCTGCGTCACGAAGAGAAGAAACACGCTAGCTTCCAGTGCCAGCACTGCGAGAAGTCGTTCAAGACAAAGATGAACCTGAGGACCCATCAGCTGGTCCACTCAGACCTCCGACCGTTTTGCTGCGGGACCTGTGGGAAGGCCTTCAAAACGAAGCACAACCTCCAGGCGCATCAGACGGTACACCTGGCAGAGAAACCACACAAGTGTCCAGAGTGTGGGGAGAGTTTCAGATGCGCCGTCAGCCTGCAGTGCCACCGGAGTGTCCACACTGGGGAGCATCCCTTCACCTGCACGGCGTGCGGCAAAGCCTTCTCCAGCAGGCGGTCGCTTCGGACGCATCAGGCAGTCCACAGGGGGAAGGTGTTCACCTGCGAGACGTGTGGGGCGGGATTCACCCTCCGACAGAACCTCCGGAGGCACATCCGCATTCACACAGGCGAGAAACCATTCACCTGCAAGGTATGCGGGAGGCCCTTCATGCAGGACAACAAGCTGAAGGCGCACATGCTGCTCCACGGCGCTGCCAAGGCGTTCATGTGCGACCTCTGCGGGAAGACGTTCCTGTACAACTGCCAGCTGAAGAAGCATCAGAAAGCCGCACATGAGGAGAAGCAGGCGCCCAGGAGGCGCGGTCGGGAGCGAGGCGAGCGCAGGGTGATCTACCGGCGGGACAAAACCATGCTGGACGTGACGCCGTTCAGCTGTGGCGCCTGCCGCAAAGGCTTCGACTCAGCTGCTTCGCTGCAGAGGCACGAGCTCATCCATGCCGGCGGCGCCGCACAGTATGCCTGCGACCAATGTGACAAGTCGTTTTTCTACAAAGCCACCTACGAGTACCACCAGAAGATCCACTCCGGGGAGCGGCCGTTTGCGTGTGACGTTTGCGGGAAGCGGTTCGTCATCCGCCAGGCGCTTAAGTCCCACAGGCTGCAGCACTCTGGAGAGAAACCGCACAAGTGCGAGCAGTGCGGCAAGGACTTCCGTATCTACACCAACTACCTGCGACACCGCCGTGTCCACACGGGGGAGAAACCTTATGAGTGCGAGGTGTGTGGGACGCGGTTCCGGCAGCTCGGACATGTCAAGTTCCACATGCAGGTCCACACAGGAGAGAGGCCATACTCCTGCAGCAGCTGTGGGCTCGGCTTTTCAGACTCCAGGTTACTCAGGAAACATAACTGCAGTGAGAAATAAAAAGTTCATTTGACAAGTATTTGTCACTTCAACTTTCAGCAACTCCAAATGTTGCTTTATGGTGGATTTCAGTTTCTTTAAAGGGGCAATATTATGGAAAATTAACTGTTTTGAGCTTCATGCTATGCTATAAAATAATTCCCTCATTAAAAACAACTTGCCTTGATTCTTTCATGCATGTTTGAAAAAGCTTTAATCTCCATGGCAATCAGCCCGAGCTCCTCCTCTGAGCTGCAGTTTCCAAGCTTCAGAGCTTCTGCCTGACAGAGCAGCGTTCCCCCACGCGACTCCTTCAGACTAGTCACAATCAGTTAGCAAACATGGTGGAACATCAGCTGAGCTCATTATAGGAACTACTGCTCAGAGCAATGCTGGTAAAATGTTAAAGGGTTGATAGTTGTGATGACTTCCTGAAGGCGGAGTTTCAGAAAGAGCAGGAGTTTCTTAAAGAGACAGAGGTCTAATTTAACGGCATTAAATTCTAAAACCATTCTTTTTTTGTTATGTTGGATATATGTAGCATTTTTACAACAACTGAAGGTAACAGAGTCATTTTACAGCACAATGTGCCTGGAAAACAGAAAATACTGTCTCTTTACGCAAGTTGAAATGTAATCTCAAAAGAAGAGTAAAAAAAAGCTACAATTTTAGATGTTAATAGAATAGTTTAGACTTACATACTTGGATATGGACCGGGTCGGTTTGCTTTTATTATCCCTTCAGATAGAATTTGTTGTAATTCTGCTGCAAACAGAAAAATGGAATTGAACTCCCTGTAGTTGCTGCCTCTGACCATTGGATGACAGCAAACACTCAGTTTATTAATGTTATAATGCTGTTTTATTTTTTTCCTGTGAATTAAGAAAACAACAAAATCTGCTGAAAAGATGCAAAAAAAAAATCTGTCAGTCTTACATAGTAGATCCGATTTAGATCTACTATGTAAAAGCCACACAACATTTACTGATCTAAATAAATAAAGAAAAAGTGATGAGAAACAGTTACAGACATCTACGGAAGAGGATTAGGGCCACTGAAAAAAAAAATCTGACTTTAATCTGAGGATTCTAACTTTAATCTCAGAATTCTGACTTTAATCTCAGAATTCTAACTTTAATCTGAGAACTGTGACTTTAATCTCAAAATTTTTGACTTTGATCTGAGAATTCTGACTTTTTTTTTCTCAGATTAAAGTCAGAACTGTTTTATTTATTTTTCTCCAGTTGCCCTAATCCTCTCCCGTATCTTCTGTACAGATAACAAACTAGATTGTTTTACATGTTGGTCTTGCAGTTTGTGATTTGTCCTCGAGAGAGCGTTGAACATTCGTGTAGTGACGTAGCCGTGACGTTGCCGTCCTTCCGTTTTAAACGTTCGTAATAAAACTAAATCACGAATCAAATTTCACAACGTTCCTTCTAATTTCTATTTTTTGTATAGTATAAATCATAACTTGAATTTGCAGCATAAAAATCTAGTTTTAATCTCCTCCCTTGTTTCTATTTTTTCAAAAATCAACATTAAATTTTACGTTGTGGCGACGCGAGTTTTATTTTGAAGGGCGTGAACCAGGAAGAAGAACAGGAAGCTGCCTCTTCGTCATGCGTGGTCTCCATCCTGACAACAACATTTCAGGATTTTATGTTGTTGGATGAAAGCTGAACAAAGCGGACAGAAACCCGTCGGACTTTGCGCTTTTCCGCAACATGTCCGACCTGGAGGCGCGAGTCTGCGCCATTTTGGACGTCATGGTAACGGCCACCATGTCAGAAATGGACAAAGTTCTCGGCAGCTCGGATCCCACCGAGGCTCCGGAACACAAACAGGCGTCCTGTTTGGACCAGAAGGTATCCGAGAGGCCGTTGGTTCCGGTTCTGGTTCGGGTCCGACAGCTGATCACAGAAGTACAGCAGCTAGCAGTTTGTTTAATGCGGCGCTTTAACTGCGCCGAGATTTGTTTTTGCGCCAAAATGAGCTGAAAACACGAGGCTGTAATCCACTGAAATTGAATTATAATCCAGAATATTCCAGATTTGGACAAACGCGCCGAGGCCTGTCTACCTGATGTACTTCTAGGAGCATCTGGACCAGAACTAATGTTGATGTTTTCAGATATTCTTGTTGTCATATGCAGTCAGATTACATAATCCTAATCTAGTATATTACAGTGAGCTGTGCTGCTGCAGTTGGGCCAGATTATCGATAATATATATAAGATATAATAATTTTGAATAAAAAAACAATACTTTAGTTTCTCTCTCAAAGTTATGTTTTGTTTTTGTGTTGCAGTTTCTCACATCTACCTCCAATAATTTTTTTTTTTAATTTGCTCTCAAATTAAAATTCTAAGAATTTTCTGTTATTTAGGAGAAAATCATAATTCAAAGGGAAAACGCAGAAAAACACATAAAAGTCATAAAAAGTATCGGTATCGCATTATTGACCCGGTATTTAATTTGTTTCGGATTGATACTGATTGAACATGTTGTTGCACATGTTTTATCATCAATAATTTTACTTTTTTTGTCATTTACATTACATTTAGAGTTCCTAATTGAACGTTTGGAACCAGTTTATGGTTTATCTGGTCAGCTTACTGCTTTCGTTGTTTCATTATGTATTTTACATTAATAAAACTCCTAGTTGCACTGATTGAACAGATTAAAATTGTTTGTAGATGTTTGATTGTGAAGCTATTGGGGTATTAAAGTGAGCTGTGCTGCTGCACAGTTAGCAAAAAAGTGTAATTCAGTACAAATGAACACTTTATTTCAATTCAGCTGTTTTTCGATACACTAAACCTCAGATGTTTTTATGGGAAGTGAGAAACGTGGATCCTTGCAGATCATTCTGTGTTCGTGTTTTTAAATTGACTCATTTCAGTTGTGATGTTTTGTTATTTGACAGAATTGAGCTTTTGCCTTTTCCCCTGAAGGTGATGCACTTCAACATCCTGCTAGCGTCTCTGGCGCAGGAAGCCGTGGAGAAGATCTGCCAGCTGTTTGAGGAAAGTTCGTCCGTGCTGCGGCTCGAAGTAGGCCACCGGCTTTTACCCTCCGTTTTGGTCCTGAGTCTAAGCGGCTCCGGTTTTAAGGCGCTCTGCTGGTGCTGCAGGTGTCACAGGGCGCGGCGGAGATCGAAGACCTGAGGACGAGGCTGAGGGAGGTGGAGATGGACCTGAAGCTGGTGATGGAGGGAAGCGCAGAGCTGGGAGGGCAGGAGGAAGTGACGGAGGAGCAGACGGAGGAGAGGAGAGAAGAAGAGGAAGGATCCCCGGGGAGTCTGTGCAGAGGTGAGCGTCGAAACGTCTTCGCTCTTCCATCTGCACCAAAGCAAATATATCACGGTACAATGGCTGCTGGAAGAGACAAGTTTTCTGTTGTTGATTTACCATCTTGCTTCGTTCTTGTTGGTTGTGCAGGAGGCTCCACTTCTGCTTTTTAAAGACAAACAGTTGCATTATTGCAGATCAGTTTTCAGCCAGTTGCAAACTGATGCAGTCAGATGTGAGTGTAAAAGTTGAGGTGGGGGGCGTGGCCAGCAGCAGATTATTTGGATTTAAAGTGACAGGACGCCCTAAAGCAGCTCCAAATGGGCAGAACTGGTCAGACTAAAATCTCACCATCTATCTTTTTGTGCAAAGAAAAGGAACAAGTTTGTTTATAGACATGGATTTATTCTAACCTGTTTGAGGAATCATAACAGATAACCTTTAACCCTCTGTCACAAAATGACACCTAAATACTTGGATAGTTAAAAGTGCCAACAATAAGTCATTAAATAGTCAAATAGGTGATTAAGTTTCATTAATTATAGATAAAACATGTTAATTAAATAAATAATCTAATTATTGCTCAAAGGTGTTATTAATCAACTAAAATAATGTATTTATTTAAAGGGGCTCAGTGAATTATGTTGGTGTAAAATCTGAGTTAGATATTTAATATAATATCTTTCTATTATAAAAATCCACATTTTAATCAGACATGTCGAAAGGCGAATGGAAAAAATGTTTAGGAAGAATAAAATCACTGACATCAAGCAGAGAAAACATAAAATTATTGATAATTTTATTGATAAAATAAATTGTAATCAATAAAATTGATATAGTTGATTATTTACTGAATTATGAATGTCGACATTGTGACGTGTCTGTGACTCATGTTGCTCTTCTGTTTTTGGTTTAGTTGTGGTTGGCGGTGAAGCCGGGGTCAGGAGGTCGCCTATTATCCACCTGTGGAAAAACCGAACTTGTGAGGTAAATCTGTGACTCGCAGTGAGTTGATCAATTTACGCCTTATTTGAAAGAAAACTCCCAATATTGTGAGGAGGAAGTCCAAGATTAGATGCCTTGAATCTGATATTTAAATCTCTTTTTGGTTAGAAATCCAAGCAGGGAGATGTTGGAGTAGGGGATCCCAGCCTTTTTTCTTCTCTCTCTGAATCCACAAAGCCTCTTTTTCAATTTCTCTGGGATTTGGGGTCATAGTTCACGCTGCAAGAACGTAAAACATATTTTTGGTCTAATATCTTGGTGCACTTGAAATATGATTAAATTAACTTTCAAGTAATTTTTCAGCAAGTTAAAGGAGCTTCGTTTAAGTCAATAATTCCTTAATATTGTTGAAAACATTTCAGTTCAACTGGCAGATTATTTCACTTATGTCAAGACATTTTTCCCATGTTATAAGTGAAATAATCTACCAGTGGATCTAGAACTTTTTCAACAATATTAAGGGATTATTGACCTAAAATAAGCTCACATTTCTTACTGAAAAGTTGCTTGTAAATTAGTTTTATTATTAACTAAGTTAGACCAGAAATACATAAGATTTAGTTTTTGCAGTGCAGGTAAAAACCAGATTATTCATCAAACGTTGGAAACCAAAACTCCTTCCAGCTGCTCAGCATCCAGAGTCGTCAGGATCATGTGTGAACGATTCTTCCCGTCTCCGTTCAGGACAGCATCCAGTCGGTTCTGCTGAAGCAGGAGATCCTGGACGCCTCGGTCCTTTCCGACCCGAACCGAACCGATCCCGCCCAGGAGGACGACCCAGACTACACGGTCAGCTGCTTCATAAACCTGTTTGTCTGGAAGCTGTGGGTTTTAACTAGGACTGTTAACGCTTGTGATTAATATGAAAGATTTACATGAAAAAGATTTGAGTCATTTTCTTTCCAAACGCCTTAATAAATTAAATAAAAGCAAATTTAGGTAAAACAAAGTCGGCTTTTTAGTAAAAGTCTCTAGATAGACTTCAAAAAGCTTTACTTTTTATAAAATCTTGGATATAACAAGACAAATACTCTGTGCCACAATAAGCAATTAATCAAATAATCACATGATAATTTGAATTACGTGATAATTTCCATCGTTTTTCTCTTTCTACCAAAAACTGGTTGATTAAAAACTTCAGTCTGGTGTTTTGGCCTCAAATAAAACTTATTTTGTTTGTTGTTTCTGTTGTTTAGTTTGTTTAACTTGGATATTTAAAATGTTTTCCACTTCCACTGTTAAATGTTCATCAGAATTAAAAGGTTGTTGATTTTTGAGAATCAGTTCTTCATTCTGATGCCTTTATTACCTTCGCATCAGTTGAAAATGGGTTTAAAACAACAAAATCATCGTTTATCGCAATAAATTCTTTGACAATTTATCGCATTGTAAATTTTGTGACAGATAATTTTTCTGTATTTACATCTTAAATATAGACTGAAGCCTTGATTTTGATATGAAAAATAAGCCAAAAAAGAGATTTTTCGCTGTTGATTGAATGTCAAACGATTTTGGCTACGAACCACAACTTCCCATCGTGTTTCAGGTGGAGGTGGACGACTCGCTTTACACCATCAGAGCTAAAGGCCTGGTGAAGCCCAGGTCGCGGGTGCGAGGGCCGAAGGAGAGCCGGGGTCAGAGGGAGTCGCCCCTGAGCTGCAGGCTCTGCAAGAAAACCTTCAGCAACCTCCTGCAGCTCAAAGCGCACCAGTCCGTCCACGGAGCGAGCGGCGACAAACCCTTCGTCTGCTCCCAGTGTGGGCGGGGCTTCTCCTTCCAGCGCAGCCTCAGCGCTCACATGCTGATCCACAAGGGCAAGTTTCCCCTCAGTTCAGTTTGCATCCATTCCCCCTGGACCGAGTTCAGCTAGTTATTTAGGGTTAAAGGTTGGAGGAGACGGAGCAAATACACAAAAATAAACAAAACAACAGGCTCAATGTCGTTTCTACGAAGCAAAAAAACCAGTTAAAAGTTGAAGTGATGCAAAAATGGAGAGTAGTAGGAGAAAGTAGCAGTGAACAGTGGACCCAAGATATAAAAATCAGTTGTTATAATTCAGGCTTATTGTTTTGTAAAAGGTCTTTGAAAACAGCAGTAAACTCAGGCTTTTCCATGTATTCTTACATTCTTCCGGTTTTCTTCCCGTTTGCAGATGAGAGGCCTCACACTTGTGACGTTTGTGGGAAAGGTTTCACCTTGAAGCAGCTCTTGAGGAACCACCAGCGTCTCCACGGCGACGTGCGTCCGTTCTGCTGCGACCAATGCGGGAAAAGTTTTTACAGAGCTCACGGCCTGAAGCTGCACCGCAGGGTCCACACCGGCGAGCGATTGTACAACTGCCACTACTGCGACAAAAGCTTCACCATACCAGGTAACCTGCAGCGCCACCTGCGCATACACACCGGCGAAAAGCCGTACAAATGCGACACCTGCGGCAAAAGCTTCAACCAGGCGGACACGCTGAAGGGCCACCAGCGGCTGCACACCGGGGAGCGTCCCTTCAGCTGCGAGACCTGCGGGAAAGCTTTCATCCAGAAGAACGCCTTGAAGATGCACCAGCGGACATTTCACCTGGACGAGAGGAAACTCACCTGCGTCGCATGCGGCGCCGTCGTGCCTTGCATGGAGTCCCTGCGCAAGCACACCCAGACGCACGCCATGACCATCCCGTGCAGCTGTGTGCTCTGCGACCAGCGCCTGTGCACCATCACGGAGCTGCGGGAACACCAGCAGCAGCACACGCTGGAGAGACCTCACTGCTGCGGGATCTGCGGGAAGAGCTTCAAGTCGTCCAGCTACCTGAAGATCCACCTGAAGGCGCACAGCGGCGAGCGGCCGTTCGCCTGCGAGATCTGCGGACGTCTGTTCACGCAGCAAAGCAGCCTGAAGTCACATCAGGTGGGTTTCTCTGCAGAATGCAAAGTTTTCCTATTAAATAACCAACATCTCACTCTGCTGAACTAATTTCTGATCCTAAAAGGGTTAAAAGAGCAGCAAAATGTCTGATGTTTAATAGAGTTCATATAAATTATCTTCTTTGTCTTTTCCATGAGCAGTAGCATCTGATTACATGAAGATGACATTAAAAAAGTGTTTCCATTGCAGCTTTATGAAATAAACCAATTTTGAGATTGCTGAAGAACTACCTTGATAAAATCTTTTCTTTATAAAAGAAGTTGTTTTTTTCAATTGCTAAAGGATCACAGTTTGCAGGACTTCATGAGTGATTTTGGGACGTAACTTTGTATTTACCTGCCTTTCCATTTCCTGCCCCTCTTAAGGTGGTCCACACCGGCGAGAAACCGTTCAGCTGTGACACCTGTGGGAAATCTTTTGGCAACACGGGCAACCTGAAGAGGCATCAGCGCATCCACACGGGCGAAAAGCCGTTCAGCTGCGACATCTGCGGCCGCTGCTTCAACCAGGGCAACAGCCTGAAGGCTCACCAGCAGATCCACACCGGGGAGAAACCGTTCATGTGCGACAGGTGTGGGAAGAGCTTCTCCTACCTGAGAAACCTGAAGGACCACAAGTGTTACTACGTTTGAAACAGCAGATCATCTGGTTCAGTTTGTGGATGTGGTTTGACTCAATTACTGTTCAAATGGATTCATGAACTTTTCTCCAGAATTAAAGACAGTATGATGGATGTTCGTTTGGCTTATTTCTGAGTATGTTGTGTCTTAAAAGAGCTGTAAAAAAAATTTTTTTTCTCTTAAACAACAAGAAATTTGACTACCTAAGTGTTGACCTAACAAAATGCAGATTTACAGAAAAAAATAAATTTCTAAATATAATTAAAGGTTTTTGGTGTCAAATGCTTGTCCTGCAATTTATAGATGAATTAAATAATTAACATGAATCTATAGAAGAAGAGACAGGAGGAGGATGTTAGTAATGTCAATCATCCGCGTGTACACGCTGATCACCATCACATTTTGTTTTAGCTGAGCTACAGCTCTTTCCTCACAGCAGAGGCCGTCATGAATGCTAAGGCTAGTTAGCATAGCCACAGATGACGGCAGATAAACGGTTTTCCTGGAATGATAAGTTGTTTCTGACATTTATAGCTTTTCACAATAATAATCGAATCTTTTTCCATCTGTAGCTGCTTGCAGAGGAAACTAATTGTGTTCATCTGAATTCAAGACCTTCAGCAAACATTTATTGGCTTTTATGATGAAAAAAGCAAAACATTTTCTCTCAAACTAGTTTCCTTCAATTTTGATGTCTATTGTGATTTTAATCAGCAGACAGCATGCTTCATGACTGGAGAAAAAAGAGAAGTTTCATTTATTCAAGTTTATTTGGTACAGAAATTATTAGTTACAAATTAATCTTTTTATGTTACTAATGAGAAGACAATAAAAACAAACTGCTGAACATCAGATGGAAGAAAAACAAATGTTTTAAAGAAACAACGAATGGAGAAACATTTTAGTTGGATTTTCTCAGATCCAACTAAAAGTTGGATCTTGGAGTTCAGACAACGAAGGAAGAGACGCACAAGAAGTGTGAACCAAAAACACTCGGGAATTTTCTAGGAAAAAAGCCCCTGAAAATTTCTGAGTTTGAAAAGTCAAAAAATTGCTAGAAAAAAAATTAAACTTTTCAGATTAATCAGAATTTTCTAGAAATGACATTTTTCCATTTGAAAGGTTATAAGTTTGCTTGGGAGGAAAATTAATCTCACAAGTGATCTATAAAAAATGTTTGAAAATTTCTTAGATTAGATTTTTTTTAGCAAACTTGCAGAGAGATTAAACTTCAAGTTTAATCTAAAAATTTTTTTTATTTTATCATGCAAATTTGCGACTTTTTAAATGAGTTTTTTTTTCCTAGAAAACTTGTGAGATTTCTTCCTTCCCTTCTACCTACAGAAGCCCTGATGTCTTTGAGTTGGTCTGAAACCCTTTGAATGTGGCGAACGGTGAGGCTTTAGTTTCAGTATTAGTTTCGTCTCGGATTTGCTCAGATCTTCTGCGCCGTTTGATCTTGGAGTGCAGACGCGTGAAAGACGAGGTTGCACAGGAAGTGTGAAGCTCTTCAGAGGAAGCTGTGGGCGATGAGCGAAGGCATCAGCACAGTCAGCAGTTGTAGAGGAAGCGAAGGCAGGCAGCGCGCAGCGACAGCAGCGCAGTGATCCAGTAAGAAGAGGGACGACTTTGATTCAGACGGGAAGTAGCAGAGCGGCTTGTCGTTTAGTTTTTCTGTATTTACCTTGACCCAGTTGCACAAGTAGGAAATGTCAACACTTGTACAGTTCCACATGTTATCAGAGAGGTAGATGAGTCTAAGCTTCTTTAGAGGCTTCAGAGTCTTGGTCTCCACAGACAGGAGCCGGTTGGACCTCAGGCTCAGCTCCTGGAGGTCTTTCAGCCTCTGAAAGAGGCCAGGACTGAGGCGACCCAGCTGGTTTCCCTCCAGGTTCAGCTCCCTGAGCTTTGGCAGCGGGTGGAAGAGCTCGGCGGGTAAACGCTCCAGGCTGTTGTTCTGCAGCAGCAGCGTGTGGAGGCTGCCCAGGTCCTGGAAGGCGTCGTAGTGGACGCTCTGGAGCGAGTTGAAGCTCAGAATCAGATTCTTAAGGTGGATCAACCCTTTGAAAGTGTCTGAGGACAACTCCGAGAGACTGTTGTTCCCCAGATCCAGCGTCACAAGTTTCCCAAGAGCAGTGAAAAGATTTGAGGGGAGCTCAGTCAACTGGTTTCCGTCCAGCTTCAAGTCTCTTAACCTGGAAATCTCCCTGAACTGGTCGGGTTGTAGAGATGAAATACGGTTGTAGGAGAGATCCACTCTGGTGACTTTTGGTAAACCGTCAAAGACAGACTGGTGGAGGAAAGCGATGCGGTTGTACTGCAGGTGAAGCTCTTTGAGCGCCTGCAGCTTGTGGAAAAGGCCCTGTGGAAGCAGCGTCAGGCCGTTGTGGGCCAGCTGAAGGTTCTGCAGAGACGCCGTGTTGGCGAACAGAGCAGCGTGGAGCTCCAGGATGTGGTTGTGAGACAGTTGCAGGTCTTGAAGTTTGTGCAACGCGGCGAAAACGTCCAGCGGCAGCGTTGAGATCTGGTTTCCGTCCAGCTGCAGATCGGACAGATTGTTCAAACTCCTGAAGACGTCCGGAGGGAGTTCTGTCAGTCGGTTCCTGTAGAGATCCAGAAACCTGAGCTTGGCCAGGTCTTTGAAGACTTGGTTTGGGAGAGAGGAGAGCTGGTTCCGACTCAGGTCCAGGTCCGTCAGGTTGTTCAGGCCAGATAGCGATCTGTCCGACAGATCCGCCAGGTTGTTGCTCGTCAGACACAGATGGTCCAGTTCAGTCAGAGAGGAGAAGGAATCGGCTGGAATGGTGACCAGCTGGTTTCCACTCAGATCCAGATGTTTCAAACCAGCCGCTCCTCTGAAGCTCCCATCCTCCACTTTTACTATCCGGTTGTTGGACAAATCCAACTTTCTCAACATGGCGGATCTCCTGAAGACGCCGCTCTCGATTTCCCTCAAGCTGTTGAAGTTCAGGTGGAGTTCTGTGAGGCCCACGACGTCGTCCAGAACCTCCGCCTGCAGCGTTTCGATCTGGTTGCTGCTCAGCAACAGCGTCTTCAGATTGGTCAAGCCATAGAGGAACCCCGGCGTCAGATGCACGATGTGGTTCTTACTCAGGTCCAAGAAGACGAGGGCGGGGCAGTTCAGGAACTGGGCCGGACGCAGAGACGCCAGGTTGTTGTCGCGCAGCAGCAGCTTGGTCAGGTTGGTCATGGCGGGCCAAACCGGGTTCAGGGAGGCACTGAGCTGGTTCTGGGTCAGGTCCAGGACCTGGAGGTTATAATAATACAACAGCAGTTGTAACAACACAATTGTAAAGTTGTGATATTACGAGAATATAGTAATAACACGATAAATCGACAAATACAAGAATAATACAACTGTCAAATAATACAACCTGATCAGCAACAAGTGAATAAGTATTTTTAATTAAAATGCCAGAAAAATCATTTCAAAGTTGAACAATTTCCTCACTTGTTGGTCAAAACATATTTTTTAGTTTATTAGCTGCAACAAAAATGAAACTATCTTTGAAAACCCTCAACTTTAAGTAACACATTTGTGACTTAAGTCTGTTTTTGAGCATATTTGTGGTCCTGCGAACTCAAAAAATTGGGCTGATAAAATACAAACACTTAAAATTTTCTGTGTATGATATAAATGTGTCATTGAAAGTCCCATTCATCCATTCCTAATTTGTGTCTAGGGGCCACACAGATCCACTCCACGGGCCACAAGTGGCCCCCTGGCCTCACTTTGGACACCCCTGTCCACGAAAATGTATCTTTGATCAAATTGAAACGACTTTTTTTTTAAATTAATTCCCTGTTTCGAGCTGTTGGTGTGCAGATCAACCGAACTGAACCCATCGCGAAAGCACCAGTGAACTTCTCGCTACCAAGGCTGCATGTGTGTCAGCTGGTTTCACAAGCTTATGCTTTCTATGCCTGTTCAGCGGCATTCAACCAACAACCCACTACAAGGCGTGTTGCATGTATCAGCTAACTGCAGGATGCAGCTGCGCACCTGCAGCTCATTCAGCCCGTTCTCGGGTATTTCCTCGATCTTGTTGTTCAAGATGAAGAGCTTCAGCGTTCCGGGTGGCAGCGGCGGTATCTGGGTCAGGCCGTTGTCCCGGCAGTCGGCCGTGGTCAGGTTGTCGAAGCAGCGGCAGGCGGGCGGGCAGAGGTCCGCCGCCCGCGCCAAGAGGCCCAGGGAGGCCAGAGTTATCGCTGCCAGCATCATCAGCTGCAGCAAAACATAAAAACAGTTCAACTCAAACATGAATTTCTCACTGTGACTCAAGCTGGACAGAAAGTAGAAAAGAAACAAGCAAGCAGGTTCCTGCATGTATGTCTTTACTGTTTTATATTTAGATATTAGTGCACTTAAATGTAAATATGAGTTTAAATCAAATCTTACCTCACTAGAAAGCAGCGTTTCCTGGAAGTGTGTGATCCGCAGACGGTCGATTCATCTAACGGCTCAAAAGCAACTCAAGGACTTTTTTTTTTAGGTTTCAGTGTCTTTTAGATGCATCTGCTGAAACAGCAGAGAAACCTTAGGAGGTGTGTATTGAAGAGAGAGAAAGGGACTCCTAGTGGCCACCGCCTGAGTTGTCTTCAAAACATTTGAGGGCTTTTCTTGCAGTTTTTCCACTTTTGAACATTTTAACGCTGCATGACTGAATTGGCCAGAAACTGCACTCGAGTCAGAGCAGCGCTACTGCAACATATTTTGAATCAATCAAGAGTAAAAAGAAATTGCTCAAGTAAGAGTAAAAAACTATTTGGTAAAAAGTCGACTGTAACTGATCAAAACATTTAAGATTTTACGACTAAAATTTCATTATTTCAGTCTGATTTTATGAAGAAAAAAAATGTAATGAACATATTTTGTATAGACCTTTTCTGACCTCATTTGTTTAGAGATAATTAAAATATTCAATAACTACTACTTGCCATATTGCATAACTTGCCTTAAAATGCATTTTACTAATGACAATATGATGCTGAACGATGTGATTCTCTTATTTACCAGCAGAGGGCGCTGAGCTCTTAGAATAGCTGCCATTCAGTCCATTTCTTTGACCTTGCAGTGAAGCTTGCCCTCAGTTTTTGTATGGAAATTAACTTATTTAACTAATTTAATGAAATAAAAGAGGTTTGAATTATTTTCCTCAGAGGAATGAAGGATTGCTGCTCTCTTTTCCGCTGCACACAGACGTCCATCGCTGTTCTGTTTTTATTGATTTGCTCATAAAACACAAGCTGTGAACAAATCGTTACTGTTTTCAGTTTGCTGTGCGGTTATTTTAAAATCCTTATGAGTGACATCAGCAGCTGTCCTGACGGCGAGCTGTAATCCCAGATTACAGGTCAGGGCGTCATCAGGGATTGGCAGGAGCAGCGGCCATTATCACCGCTACTGTAGGAGAGGAGCAGAGCTGGTGGTCTGGTCTTAGACAAAAATAACAAAATGAATAAAAAAACACTGGTTGCTTTATTGTAGAATGGAATAAAGCAACCAGAGAAGCCATTAAAAAAATGTCAGAAAAAAGTTCTAAATTCTGAGATTAAATACGAATTCTGAGTCCAAATTTTGGCATGGAAGTCAAAATTTCCAGATTAAAGTCAGAATTGTGTGGGGGGAAAAAAGCTGATTTCTGAGAAGAAAAATGAAATCCAAATTCTGACTTTAAATTGAGAAACTTGAGATCAAAGTCAAAATAAAAAGTTTTGATATAAAAAGACAACATTTTGAGAAGAAAAAATTGAATTCTGGAATTGAAATCAGAGTTCTCTTTATTTATTTTGTGGCACTGATTGTCTTCCATACAGTTTGCAGTCAAGTATTCATTCACTCGTTCCTTTTTAATCCTGTTTGCTATGAGTTTAACATCATTTTTAATTTTCTCGGTACTAAACGTCACATATTTTGTTGATGATGTTTTTGTGTTCACTCACACACGAACCCTGGATGTAGAGCAGCAGAAACAGACCACAGCCTCTCCTACATCAACACGTATCGACCGGCTGGCCGTCCTCTGACGTTCTCTGTGTTCAGACTGATCAGCTGATCGATCCTGCAGACTGAGCGCTGCGTGTCGCCGCCTCAGTCTGCAGGACGCCCGGGAAGAACCAGGATGAGGCCCTGGATTCGCTCCAGCAGGTTCAGATCAGTCCAGGTAAATAAACTCAATCCAATCACACCAGCTTGAACTTTAATTATTTATTTTATCACCAAATAAATAATCAAATCAGGAATAAGGTCCCAGTTAGTTGCATGAATGTTATTCATCTTTATTGCTTTAATAAACTGCTCGCTTTCCTGTTATATAACAAGATTTTGACTATTTTTTTAAAATAGAAAGTTGGTGCATAAAATTTGAATTAATTGTAAATATAGTAACCAGTTACTATATTTACAATTAACTCAACTACATTTACTTTAGTAACTCTTTTGAAAAAAATGACCTTTCAGGAGTATATTTATTACGCTGTACTTTTTTCTTTTACTTCAGTAATTTCATTATGAAGTATTTTTTCTCTTACTTGAGAGAAATTTCTGGATTTTTTTTGCGCACTGAATGAAAAACAAACATGTTTTAACCAGAAATCCACTATAAACAGACACACAGCTGCTGTTTCTGTTAAAGTTTGATCAGATTTTAATTGAGAGAAACTGATTTGCAGAAATTATTTCGGTTTTAGTTTGTTAGTATTTGTAACTGTTATGAATAATTGTGTCATTTTTGAACATGACATGATTGATAATTTGATCACTTACTCAGCACTTGAGTAGATTTTTCCCCAAATACTTTTTTACTCTTACTAGAGTGTAATTTTTAGTTACTCACCTCTGATTTTGAAATTTTGGCTTCGTTTTCTAGATATTTCTTGGATTATCCCTGGAATCGGGAGAGTTCATGTTTAGGGGTATAAACCTGCTGCAGCTGATTCATTTTCATTATGATTGAGGTCTGATGCTTCATGTTTTCCTGTTTTAGGATCATTATCCTGTCGAAACTCACAGAACATTCAAACCTTTATAGCTTGAATGTTATCTGAAAGATAAAATAAAACTGATTAAACCATTTCTGCTGTTCAAACTTGGCATTTATTATATCGTTTATTGGGATACGTTTTTTATCATGTTAAGAATTTTTTGATTATTGTATAGTTACTTAAAAAAGAAGCAATAAGTATCTCTCAGGTTCACTTTTATTGTTATTATTAATACTGCAAAATATGGCGATGAAACTTTAATTCCAGACCTATAACTTGTTTGGATTTATGATATGAATAATTAGTTAAGAAGGCACCGATGTGAAAAGCTGGGCCAATACCGATATCTGATATTAACATTGCTGTTATAGCTAATAATTAATATTTACCAATCATCAGCATAGAAATATAAAATGGCCTCTTACTACCCCGCTACCTCTTCCTCCATTTTTTTTCACTGAATTTCATTTTGGAGAGATGTTGCTCCAAATTATTCATAATTTGCTCCTTTTTTTTGTAGCACATTACAAATAACATAAAATTAGCTTAGAGAACTAAGGCAGTTTCTACCGTCTATTAATGCACTTTAATGTATATTTGATGTTTAAATAACCAAAATAAGCAGTTTTAAGTGGTTTCAGCGGCAGCCTAAAATATTCACGCATTTTATTCACGGTAAGTTGTGGCCCTAGTTCAGCTCCATATTTCTTCTATTTATTTGTACTTTTCTAAATTGATTTTGTCTTTAAAATACTAGAATAGTAAATATTCAGGTTAGCTGAAGTTACTAGCAAAATGGACGGTCGCGTTTTTTTTCTTTCATCAGCAGTTTCCAGATTATTTGGAATTAAACAACATGTTTAAAATGAAGGACGGCATAAATAAGATGCTGATGCGATCAGGATGGGCATGTATGTATGTTTTAATTAAACCGTTTTTGGTGGATTTTTTTTTTTAAATGGCAGATCACTGTTATCTTGCAACTGCTAATGTGTTAGCATACACCTCAAAAACTACATAGCTGTGGCTTAGTTTTTTTTTTTTTTTAACTTTATTTTTTAACCGTTAATGTTTGGGTGAATAAGACAAATTATCTTCCCACAATCGAGCTGAGACTTTCTGAATAAATCCAGCGCAGCGTTGCCGTTGCTATTTCCGTCTTTGAACTCGGACAATCGGACGTCCGAGCATGTTGGAACGCAGCATCAGCCTTGAAGGCGGTTTTTCAGATTTTCTCGCGCAGCACCTGAAGGCAGCAGCCCAGCCTGTTCTTGCTGACGTCCCTCCCTCCTTTATTGTCGCCGAGGCTGAACGCGGCGCGGCTCCGTCCTCTCGCCTCCTTTCTTTGAATAAAAACGGATCTTCTGGCCGCTCAGAAACACGAACCGCTCGGTGTTGGACACGTGGAGGAGCGGCTCCGGGAGTTTCCTCTCCACCGCGGCAATGAGAGGCGCGACAGGGCCGAGGCGAAGAGCCGGGGGGACGGACTGACTCAGCGGCGACCGCCGTCCTTTCACACACCCGCAGTCGGTCATTGATTTACATCCCGAGGCCCAGGCTTCCCACCCGCGAACACAAGCGCGTCCTCAGCCGGTTCTGGTTCTGCTTCATTAGTCGGATCCGTGATTTTTGCCACGCTAGCCGGCTAACGGGAGGCATCAACTCCCGGTTTCGCCCCGGAATCGGCGCCCGGTTCCTCCTGCATGTTGTGCTCGGTTTCGTCACCTCGGGATGATGCAGCTGAAAGGAAACCGATGATCTGGGTTTGTTTGAAAGGTCCGGCCCGGTTCTAGGGAGATGATCCGGTAGAGGCTGTGAGGTGGGGGTTCGGGTGCGGGTGGGGGGCAGCTCATCTGGAGGAGGGGTATTTCTGATGGAGGCATCATGAGGTGGAGGTTACCGGTGTGTTTTTAACGGATCACCTTAATCTGGATCAACGTCTGGGTGACCTGTGCTGCCTTCACGGACTGTAAGAAATGAGGATTGTAAAGACTTTCTCCTACTTCTCTTAACCCTGGATTGTTTTTGGTCTCATTTGGAACAAAGTGTGAACAAAAGAAAAAACTGATTTCCCAGTTATTTTTATTTATCGCCTGGCGGACTCGCTCAGGGAAGAACAATGTCTTTACGGACGGCGCTGCCTGGGAACGAGCGGAACCAGGACCATGTAAGTAAATTTAAAAACACAAAGAGTCTGGGTACGATTACCACTAAGTACTGCCGATATCATCACCCCTATGCGATGGTAAAAGTCTAAACTGTTCATGTCCAGCATGTGTGGGATCTGCAGAGAGGCTAAAAGTCTAAATCGTTCATGTCCAGCATGTGTGGGATCTGCAGAGAGGCTAAAAGTCTAAATCGTTCATGTCCAGCATGTGTGGGATCTGCAGAGAGGCTAAAAGTCTAAATCGTTCATGTCCAGCATGTGTGGGATCTGCAGAGAGGCTAACAGTCTAAACCGTTCATGTCCAGCATGTGTGGGATC